ACACAGCCTAAATATTTGAAAACCTTGTTAACACTCTTCCGGCTAATGTTGCAGACAAAATATCCTGAAAATTGGTCAGAATGGTTGTTATTATGATTTCCAAGTCATGTTTGAATTTGGGTCACTTGTGTCCAGAAACCAGGTCACACAGCCCTTATATGGGAAAACCTTGTTTACACCTTAGAGGCTACTTTTGTGTTCCAAATAACCTAAAATTTGGTCAGAAAGGTTGTTTGGGTTATTTCTAGGTCCAGTTTAAATATGGTTTATCTGTGGTTAAAAACTAGGTCACACAGCACAAATAAATATGATTGAGCCTTCATGACAATGTCCTCAAGGTGAGCTTTTCTGATTGACCATTGTTCGTCGTCCTTCGTCCGTCCGGGCGTCAACAATTTCTTTAAACAACTTCCCTCCAGAACCACATGGCCAAGTTTGTTGACACTTTGCAGGAATGTTTATTGCATGAAGCTCTACCAAAGTTATTTAAAAAATTAAATTCAATGAAGAACTATGGTTTTCATGGTAACCGAAATATTTTTTTTCCAAAAATCTTAAAAATCTTCTTGTAAAAAAACGAAAGAGCTAGAGCTTAGATATTTGGCATGAAATATCCTTTAATAGATGTCTTCCAAGTTTGTTTAAATAAAAGCCCTAGGGTCAAAATTGGTCCCATCCCAGGGTCATTCATTTTCCTTATACATGTATGTGATATAGTGAAAACATAAACAAAAACTTGTAAAAAAACCGAAAGAGCTAGAGCTTAGATATTTGGCATGAAATAGTTTGTAGTAAGTGTCTACCACATGATTGTACCAAGTTTGTTCAAATAAAAGTCTAGGGTGGAAATTGGCCTTGCCTAGGGGCATCTTTGATTTTCCTTATATGTATATATCGAAAACTTAAACAAAAATCTTGTAAAAAACCGAAAGAGCTAGAGCTATGATATTTGGCATCTTCTAGTGGATTTCTACCAAGTGTGTTCAAAGAAAAGCCCAAGGGTGAAAATTTACCCCGTCTGGGGGGTCTTTGGTTTTCCTTATATGTATATATCTAAAACTTTAAAAAACAATCTTGTAAAAAACCGAAAGAGCTAGAGCTTAAATATGTGGCATGAAACATCTTCTATTAGATGTCTACCAAGTTTGTTGAAATAAAATCCCTAGGGTCAAAACTGACCCTTTCCCAGGGAGTAATTGATTTTTTGTGTGGTATGACAAATATCAAAATAGCATTTTCTTGCGTAAATATCCAAAATTCACCCTAATGGCCATTTTACACATCATTTTACATCTCAGTCAAGCATTCAAAATATCCGAGATTTAACACAAATTTAAAAACTTTTAATTTTTACTATTTCTTGTAAAAATCCCCAATGTAAATTGATGTATACTGTATGCGTGTAAGTCCACCATTTTGTGCATGTGTATAGTTTGTGAATATCATTGTGAAAAATTAAAAACACGAACATTTTATGCTACAGACATCTTGTTATTTAAGAGGCTACTTATAGGATTTTGCAAGTAAGAATAAAATAATTACTAAAACATTTAAATTGTACATTTCTAGTACAAAATACATCATTTTTTATTTTTCGAAACATAACTTGATATTTGATTGAAAAACTGGTTATTTAAGTAAGATAAAGCCTCAAATTGACCAAAAAGTAAAATATTTCATTCCCTTCTGCGCTACGCGCCTCGTGAAATTCAATATTTTACATATATGACAGTTTTCGGCTTATATCTGCTACATACATTGAGGGATTTTGAAAAAGCTCGGCACAAATTTCTACCACATCATGACTATGTGTTTCGTCCAAGAACCACGTCCCTACCTTATAGGTCAGGGTCACACTTTCATTTTGAAGTTTCATAGTAACACTATGACAGTTAATAGGTACACACATTCGTGTCCGGACTGTAACTTTGTCATGCGTCGAAGGATTTTGAAATAACTTGGTATGAATGTCTACCACATTAAAATGATGTGTCGCGTGAAAAAAATTTACGTCCGTATCACAAAGGTCTAGGTCACACTAACATTTTGAAGAAATAGAGTTAAAGGGTACACATATTCGTATCCGGACTGTAATTTTGTCATGCATCGATAGATTAAAAAAAAACTTACAAAAGCTACCGCATCAGGACGATGTATCGCGGGTAAGGGTCGTGTCCGTCTGTCCGCCTGTGCTTCCCAACTTACACAAAAATCGAGTCCAGACTGTAACTTTGTCATGTATTGAGGGATTTAAAAATAACTTGGCACAAATGTCTAACGCATCACTCCTTTGTGTTGCATCCAAGAATCACGTCCCTTCTCGAAGGTAAAGGTCACACTTCATTTTGAAGTTTCACGCTGTCACAATTAGAGATTAAAGGTACACACATTCGTGTCCGGACTGTAACTTTGTCATGCATTAAATGATTTTAAAATAGGCATGAATGTCTACTACATCAAGACGTGTCGGGTCCAAGACCAATGTCTCTAACTTCAATGTCAAGGTCAGACTTAAAATTTGAAGGATTAACTAACTTTGTTGTTCATTGAAGGATTTTTAAATTACTTGGCACACGTGTCTACCACATGTAGACAATGTATCGCGGCCAAGGCTCATATCACTACCTTATAGGTCAATGTTATAATTAGAGGTTGAGTGTACACATAAGTGACTAAACTTTAGCTTTGTCATGCTATGGAAACATTTGAAAACTACTTGGCACAAACGTCAAACACATCAAAGTGATCTATTTCATTTAAGACCCATGTCCGTTAGTCAAAGGTCAAGGTCACACAGTTTTTAGGTTTCACATTCTGAAAGGTAGATTTTAAAGGTACACACATTTGTGTCTGGACTGTAGCTTTTTTACACACGGTAGGATTTTTAAATAATGTAGCCTATATGTCTACCACATGTCCCTACCTCCAAGGTCAGTCTAACAGCTGGAAGTTACTCATTTTCTCAAGAGGAGTTAAAAGATACACATTCGTGTCTTGACTGTAACTTTGTCATGCAAAGTTTTAAGTTTTAAAATAACTTTTCACAAATATCTACGTCTATCTATCTATCATCCAAACGACGTGTTGTGAGTAAGACCCATATTTTCACCTCCAAGGTCAAGGTCACTCTAAAAGTTTGAAGGATTTTATGCCCATAAGAAGAGTTTGAAGGTACACATTAGTTTCTGAACTATTAAACTGTAACATTGTCAAGCATTTAAGGATTTAGAATAGCTTGGCATAAATGTCTACCACATCAAGATGATATCTCGCATCCAAGACCCATGTCGGAAGGTGGTAAGTTTGCTATAAATAGCACTTCATTTCATAGGAACAATATTGAGCAATTAGTTGCTTTCATTCTCTTTTTCTTTTCATAATGTCTTTCTGTAATGCTTTAGAAACCTGTTCGAGGGGAGGTTTGCCTGACTGCTCTTGTCTTTTTGCATAGTTATAATATTATTATATTGATCCTTGTATTTGGTAATCGGTTGCTTTTTTTACACCTAATATATTATATTAATAAAGTAATGATATTGTTATATTAATTTTGAAGATATTTCTTTGCCAAAGGACTCATTTTAGGCGTGTATAGTTCCCCGTCCCCTCTTTAATTACCCGATCTGCCCTGTTTGATTATAAGTTTATTTTTGGTCTAACTACAATCAATATATTTGTGCATAAACTTGTACAACTTAAAGCTACAGTCTCACTTACATCCCGGCAGAGCCCCGGCAGAGCCCCGGTAGACGTCCGGGGTGATCCGGGAACGACCGGGGTACGACCGGGAACAACCGGGGTACATCCGTAACTCTGCCGGCAACGTCCTGGATGATCCGGGATGATCCGGGAACATCCGGCATTCGACCCCGGATGGAATAAAATATTTAATATCACCGGGGTGGTCCGGGATGATCCGGGAAGGTATAGCTTTGCCGGCATCATCCTTAGCTCTGCCGGGAACGACCGGGGTGATACCGGGAAAGCACCGTAGCTCTGCCGGCACAAACCGGGGATGATCCGGGGTATGATATAGCCGGTAGAGCTACGGTAGAGCTACGGTAGAGCCCCGGTATATGCCGGCAGAGCCCCGGTAACTACAGGCAGAGCCCCGGAGGATAAAGGTAGAGCTACGGTTGATCCCGGTAGAGCCCCGGTAGAGCCCCGGCAAAGCCCGGATCATTTAAAAAAAAAATAAGGACAATTTGTGATGATTGAACTTGTTTGTATTAAAAGCCTTCCCATTTCCCTTCTATCCAGTATGGCAGAAGGATTTTTCAGAAAATCATCATGAATTACTATTCTGGAACAATAGATATTATATTGAATAAAAATTATGTATCAAAGTTATCATTTTCGGGCGTTTTCAATCCACCGGGGTTCTACCGGGGCTCTGCCTGGATCGTCCTGGGCTCTGCCGGGGCTCTGCCTGGATCGACCGGGGCTCTGCCTTGGTCAACCGGGGCTCTTCCGGTGTCATCCGGGAACGACCGGGGAAGCACCGGCATGAACCGTAGCTTCACCTGGGCTCTGCCTGGATGATCCGGAGCGCATCCTAGGTGGTTAGTAGGGAACTACCGTAGTGCTGCCGGGGTTAGTGTGACTGCAACAATAATTTCATCCCGGATCGTCCCGGATCATCCCGGTAACTTACCGGGATGGTCCTGGGCTCTGCCGGGAGTAAGTGAGACCGAGGCTTAACTTTCCTGTTATTGTAAATATGTACACTTAGTAAATGACCAAAGTGACATAAAGCAATTTCCTAATGATATTTTTTTCGCCATTAAATTATTATACATTTGGACATGTATCTCAAAATAATATTATTTTCTTTAAAGTTCTCTTACTTGTTCCCTCATCTTTTTTTACTTGACACTTGACACTTTTGAATTTTATGTGATTTGTATCATTAAAAGTGGAATTATCAAAACAAGTTCACTATTATCATGTTATTATGCATCTCAGATAACTAAAGGTGTTCGGTCAAGTGTTTTTTTATCTTACGGGGAAGAAGAATATCAGTTCAACGAATTTACTTGTTATCTGTCGGAATTATGCGTCACAAAGTGAACCACTGTCACACAGTAAAGATGGCGGATAGGTTTCTGATTACATTAATTCTGTTTGTGGGAATAACAGGTGATTATTTTATATATAACAAAACAGTTTCGTGAGAATGGAGTTATTCATGAAGAAAAAAACTGAAATAAATACATAGGATCGTTGTAAAAGATATAGCTCTAAAACTCGTCTCATAGGAACTTCAAATTCTATCAGTGATATTTACAATTTCAATGAAAGACGTTAATACTGTTCATTAATTAATTTATTTTATTACTATTATTATTATTATTATCATTTATTTATTTATTTATTATTATTATTATTATTATTTTTATTATTATTATTATCATTACTATTATCATTGTGATTAAATTTTATTTATTTATATATTTATTTAATCATTTTTTCTTTATTCATTATTTATTTATCTATTTATTTGTTTATTTATTATTTGAGGGGGAGGGAACACTGCACCAACTCGATAAAGCTCATACGGCGACTTTAAAGCTTGACTGGTGGAAAAAGACCTCCGGTGCCCGTCAACGCATTATTTGCTCGGACGGGTACCTGTGTAAACCCACCGACGTTCCGTTAGCTACATGGATAGCTTCATCTTATGAATAATCCCTAGCGGGGTTTCAAAACCACAGCGGTGAGAGGCAAGTTGTTTAAAGTCAGATTGCCCATACTTGTATGTATATTTTTAACTAGACGCCTTATATTTCTGAAATAGCTAACGAATGTCCGTATAAGCCACATGAGCATTCAATCGAAACTGTGAAATCATCAAAAGATTAAACTAGGCCCATATGAACTATTGTGAAAAATCTTAACCACTTTTATGCGACTTTGCTTCCTAATGTAAACACTTTTTAAAGATAAAGAATTAGTTATATTAGATATATGCATGTAGAATAACTTAACCATCCCCATAAGTTATCTTCAGTTACATCCTTTACCCGTTTGTTAATTTTACCATTATCATCCTGATTAGGCGAACAACAGGCCACTACCAAGCGTATTTTCCCGCCAAAATAAATGTTAAATTGGTGGTTTTTAGGTAAAACGCATTTCTTTCCTTTGTTAGTCATAAGAAACCCCTTATGTATATGGCTAGTCTCACGGAACGTAGTGTTTATATCAAAGAAAACGAACAGTTATGCCGTTTATGTCAAAAATGTTTTGTGACTTGTATTAAATGTTTACAAAGGTCTTTTTTATTAGTCACATTTTTTACTCTATTAATACCAACAACGATGCGCTTCAGCCACATTAGGTGTCTTGATACTCTGTATACATCTGTTGCGCCGTTATATGTCGCAACGACGCTTAATGCCGCACTTTTCACTAAATGTCGCACTATAGCCGCTTAATATCGCATGTTCCGCTAAATGTCGCACTATAGCCGCTAAATGTCGCACTATAGCCGCTAAATGTCGCAACCATCGCTAAATGTCTCAAAACTCAAAAACATTTTGCCGTTAAAAGCTGCAAAACTTACGTTAAATGTCGTACCATTTTCCCTAACCGTTAAATGTACTTCCGTTAATAACTCGTATTATGACAATATTAACGTTATGTATGTGATTTAGGGAGTTTTAAGATATCTATCCGATAGGAAAGGGTTTACTGTGATGTATAAATTAATTGGTAGAAATTGGAGTCATCTTAGTCGGTATTATAAATAGACGACCACAATTTATATGCCAAAGGCCCTTATTGATAAAACGCATTTTTCATAACAACCCAGCTGTCGTGATTTTAAGCTACCACATCAGTTTCAGATTTATCTTACACACCGAGATGTTTATTATAGTGAAATTCAATTAAAATTTAATCTAAGATTTTTTTATATTTTGTGTCAGGCTTTTGCCTACTAACATGTTTGTCTGCGGTTTTACCGATCTTGAAGGTATTATACTTACTATATATACTTTGCCTCAATCAGATTACAGTTTTACCGAGAGAGATAATATAAAAATGCTCATTTTCACGCATATGTTCTGAAAAAAAGAAAGAATAATGATAAGGCAATACCGTACCAAGAAACAAATTCAAAAACACTTAACATCGGTGTATTATTCTTTTAAGCAACGAGAGTAGTCGAATGCGCTGACTGTCTGTCCGGCAGACTGCTATTCATAACGTCGAAATAACAACAATATTCATTCATTTAGTGATAACTTAATAACTAAATGCATGTTATCATTATTTTTGCTCTGGTTTCCAGGTGTAGTTGCGGGGTCATATTGTAGTTCATCGTCTGACTCTTCGTATGGATGGTTAAGCCATAAATATTGTGAAAATGGTTGTTGTGGAGATTCTGACAATCGATATTGTTGTACCGAGTACACAGTGTAAGTCATGAATTCTTCATTCAATAAAACCAGTGCCATGTGTTTGTTGTTGTTATTGTTTTTATCTTTCTTTCTTTCTTTCTTTCTTTCTTTATTACTTTCTTTCTTTCTCTCTTAAATTCGGATTTATTAAACTACATGTATATCTAATTGATTATTTTAAAAAGATTAAAAGAAAAACGGTAGAACTATGATGTTTACATAAACCCATGATCGATTCTCGAATTATTTGTAACATAGAATATATCTGTTATTTAACACACATGAAAATTGTGTGTGAACATAATAATAAAATGTTCCGGAACGAACTATAATTTCAGCAATTTATGTTGATATTAACTGTTTAGCAAGGAGTGTCTCCAGAGGAAACATACTAAAAAATTCCTTTCATTAAGGCATCTTGGAATTATTCATTTTCCAAAATTCAAACAAATGTTTTGTAAATTTCAGACAGTTCTTAGAGATATAGCTGTATACGCTTAAATGTTTATATATTAAATTCATACATAGTGTCATATTTTATGATTAAATTTATTCGTGTGATTTAAAAGTTTTATGATATTTCAAGTATTTGTCATGTTTGCATAGCAGTTAATTTCAATATTGCATTTATTTATGTAATGTTTCCTTGTGCCTACATTTGGGCGCGAATTTATATAATAATTGACATTCCTTTCTTTATGGTAGCTTTGTAAATATTAAAGTGACAGTATTCCCATCCAAGGGTATATATTGAGTGAACAGGTGAAAGTAAGAATAAGTTTATTTTTCCTTCAATTTTATAATTTACTTCACAGGAATGAATGAATCATTCACTTGGCCCAAGGAAATTTATCTAAATTACCCATCGTAATTTACCTGCCTAAATTTATATAAAATACTGGGGCAGTTTTTTTATAATTTAGGCAGATTTATATTTTTTATTCACTGGTTTCCTAGCAGTTTCCGTCCCCTAGCAGTTTTCCGGCCGTTTATCATTTTCGTCCAGTCAGTCTATTTTTACCGGTAAGGCATCCACATTATTTCATCAATCAGAGAGACATTTGTTTTCTATGCTAAACAGCATTTAAAATAGTACAACGATTAATATGTTTTGAAGTTTTGCCTGTTATTTAAAGTTACATAAGAGAACTTGCGACTTTCAAAAATAACCAACACCTGGGGAATTCTAGTTTGAATATCCATGAGCAATAACTAAGACCCCATTTTAGGTAAATCAATACTTCGGAAAACATTTCTGCAGACGACACGGAAAAGGTTGGGAAGTTCTGTCTGTCTGATAAAACCACCTTAACATTGCTTTATGGTACTGAATTATATTCAAAATAAAAAAGGTCCGGAAAACTGATATGAATTATTGAATAAAGGTGAAAAAAGGTGTTACGTTTCATGCCTGTATTCAAATTAAAAAGTAAAATGAAAGTGCATCATTAAACACATGGCAATGCTGGACAGATATCTAACTTTGTTCTGTCACAGTTTTGTACCCCTTCGTAAACTGATTTTTATTTTATTTGTTAAATAGTGCAATTTATGGCCGGAAACTGCTAGGAAACCAGTAAACTTTTTCCATTTTCAACTGTTGGCCAATCATTATTATAACAGTCAGTTCTTTTTAAATACATTGTATATAGTCAATGCAGCTCAACTTGACAATGGCAAAATGGGCATAATGTCACTTTAATAAAATATGTTTATCAAACATTATTTAAGTGGTGCACGTCGGAAGAGGATTATAAGTCCTAGGATTTAGGAAAAACTAAGGACTCTCCATGAAACGCAATCCTGATTTGGTTAAGTGCGCAGCTATTCTTTACAAAAATTCAGAATGAATGAAACAAAAATGTAGGGTACCAACTACCGACCATCCATTTCAGTTATATGCCATACACTTTGCGACAGAAATGTTACTGCTTTTCGAGATTCATTCTCTCGTGAAAGAGTAAAACCACGTCCGATGATTAAATTTTACATCAGTTAAAAGTGAATCATATAACTAAAGGTCCTCTTTTGGTTAAACTGATGTCACATCAAGACTGTTAACTAAAAGGTCAAATAGCGAATTTGCAGCTTTCTAAGTGGCGGAAACCTCATTTGCCCCTCTGTGCTATACTTAAGACACGAGCTGATACGCGGCCTCCGTATTTCCTCTCGCACAAACAGAAATAATCTGAGGTCCTTGGCGATATTCGAACCTACAGAGTTGAGGGACGTGTGGTCCGAGGACATCGGCATTTACTGCTAAACCACGTATCGTATGTCATTATCACTTTAGCACATTAAAATACTTTTAATTACGATTGTCGGTTCACGCTGGTTTCAGGAATGTTGGAATGATCGTTGGTATTGTGTTAGGGTCAGGATTTCTTATAGCAACTATTGTAACAGTCATTGTTGTCGTAATGTGTTGTTGCCGGAAACCTAGAGCGCAACCCGGACAAGTAGTCCAGCCCATGGTAGCTACAGGTAAATACTTATACATAAATGATCCCAAAATAAGAATCACGCGGTAATAATCATCACGGTATACACGAGCGTTATATACAAAATTTGTCGGCCAAAGAAAATTACATTTATTTAATATATATGTATGTATTTGCGCTCCCCGGGAGATGCTTTGGTAGTTTAGCGCGGAGGAAGGTAGTCTAGTACTGGTGTAACTCTCCAGGAACGATGGTTAGGAAACTGCCCGCCTATATGACTGAAATACTGTTGAAAAAAAGGCGTAAAATAAAACAAACAAGCAAAATGTATTTGCGCTTTGCTTATCTTTATTATATGCAATGGAATAGTGTACATGTATATTCAGCTGAGAAAATATTATTTTAACAGGCATCGACCTATCAATAATGTAACTGTTAATAAAATATACAATCCATGCACTCAGTCTTTAGGAAAGAAATTTATAGTTTTGTCTTACGAGATCAAATTCAAATATTCTGAAGATGGGGCTCGGTATTCTACAATTACAGACCAATTAAATAATGACTGTCTTTATCATAACTGCTATTTTTAATCAATATTTCAAATGATTATACATCTTAACGTCATTTATATTACTTAAAAAATGCTTTCTATATGCTTCAAAAGAGCCAAGGTTTTATGACAGACTCGCGCTGAGGTGAATACCATATGCATGATCAATGTCGGACAGAATGGTATAGTATTAAACAAACAAAATATTACTCTATAATATCTTCACCGTTTTTTTTATCGCTCTCCTTTTTTTCATTATAAAGAAACTTTAGTCATATGATTTGCAATGAATTTAAAATTATGCAGGGGATTATAAATATGTATATGTTTTTATTTCAGTTCAAGCGTATAATGTACCTGGGCGAATGGGTACGGGCTCGCCTGTAACAATAATGACCACAAACGCAAGGCCTGGGCCTGGTCAGCAGCAGTGGCAACAGCGAAATCAACCACCGGCACGCTCTGAAAATGCCTCAAAATTCTGAAAATTTTATGCCATCGAATTACGGCACTGATTGTGCTTATGAGATAATCGGTGATATATAACTAATAGAAACTTCATTTTTTTCTGCCCCGTTATTATAAATTATGCTTATTATGTGCTAAAGCGTATATGAATATAGGCTCAGCACGTTCATCATACGCGTTTTTCTTTATGAATTAATACCAAGACACGTTCAGGTATAAATGTTACAAATAAAATACAGAGACATCTGCCTTTACGTCTTTGACAGCCCGCCATCTTGGAGATGTTTTCACATTTACGACCTTACAGCTTACAACACAGTGATTATGTTATATACATGATATATGCATTGTGTCACCGCAAAATGTCCGCCACCGAAAAAAAATGATAAAGTTCTAAGTGATTTAGAATGACTATTTATCTGTTAAGTAATCATATTTTGTTCTAGAATACTTTAGAACATTACCTGCTATATAAAATATATGTAATATCGGACCATGTAGGTCACACTTGCCGACAACTTCCGAGTTTTATTTGTTCGTGGTTTGTTTTTATGTCCATTATAGATCAATTCACTTAAATTAAAGAGACTCTAAAGGTTCTTTCTTTGTTTGTTTGTTTTTTCAATGACGGGATTGAAAATGTATTCCTGAGATTTGTGTACAAACTATTGAATGTCTGGACCAATAACTTGTGTGCTTAACCACTTACCTCGCTGTTCCAGACTAATCGTTTCATTGTGAAAAACGACCCAAAAAAATGAAACACTTTTTACGCAAATCCGACGAAAAATGAACCAAAAAATAATCAACTCATAATTTGATTTTGCGTATATTTCTATCCTATCTTTTACAGATTTTTTCCATTTTCAGTGCTTCATTTGATATTTGTAGGATTTTCAAATTGTGTTTATTAGGCCTTTAGATCTCAGTGGAGTGTTTCATGTAATTTTTCAGTCAGCAGGGTGCATTTTCAATCAGAATAACCAACGAAACACGGTGAAGCTGCCTACGTGCACTGATGTGATAACCGATTATCACTGACTTTCTTCTGTGAATGTCCTAAATTTCTGATATGCTAGTTATGTTCTATTTTTCTTTTTTAATCATGCAAGATATAATTGTGATCAAAATTCAAAGTAAACCAAATTTTAAATAAGCTGAATTTCGAGCTAGCACGAAGATCGAAATTCAAAATTTGCAAAGGCCGAATTTCGAGATTGGTTTCAATTTCGAGCTGGTTGGAAAAACAAGTTCAAAGTTAGCTAATAATAAACCAAATTTCGAGCTAACGTTGAATTTACAGCTATATCGAGGATTAAAATTAAAAATTTGCAATGGCTGAAATTCGAGATAAAGTTGAAATACGAGCTAGCTCGAAGATAAAAATTCAAGGTTAGCTTTAGCCGAATTTTTAGGTAGAGTGAATTTCGAGCTTGTTCGAAGATCGAAATTCAAAATTTGAATAGGTCGAGGTTCGTGCTGGAGCTGAATTTCGAGCTAGTTCGAAGATAGAAATTCACAGTTAGCTTAAGTCGAATTTTCAGGTAGATTGAATTTCGAGCTAGTTCGAAGATTAGAATTTAAAATTTGCATAGGACGAATTTCGTGCTGGGGTTGAATTTCGAGCAGCTCGATGACCAAAATTTAAAGATAGCTTAAACCGAATTTCGAGCTTCGTGTTGAATTTCTAGCTAGCTCAAAGTTTGTTTGCATTGGCCGAAAGTCGTACTAGAATTGATTTTCGAACCAGATAGAGATTCAAAGTTAGCGTACGCCAAACTTCAAAATGGGGTGAAATTTTGAGCTAGCCAGAAGATCGAAATAAAAATGTGTGCACAATGTCCGAATTTCATGCTGTAGTTGAATTTCAAGCCAGCTCGAAAATCGAGATTTAAAGTAAGCTTAAGCCAAATTTCGAGCTGAATTTGAATTTCGAGCTAGCACTAAGATCCTATTTCAGAGCTAGCTTAAGCCGAATATCGAATGAGAGTTCACTTGCAAGCTTGCTCGATAATTGAAATCGAAAATTTGCAAAGGGAGAATTTAAAGAATTTCTTGGTTTTTTTACAATCAACATGGCTCTGTAACACCGCACAACGTCCGTTCCGCAAAACGTACGTATATGGACGTTTTGCGGCGCATATCGTCCACATTTTTCGGACGTACATTTTGCGGCAAAAATACATGGCCCTTCCGCATAACAACCATATGTTTAAGTTTATATGATTTTCGTTAATTTTGACCAGTTATTATCAGGTGTAATTGTGTGTTAATTTTAGCTCACCTGAATATGCGCCTGTCTATCTGTCCGTCCAAATTTAGCTTGTTACCACTCTAGCATCCGCATACCCTAAGCAATATGTCCAGAATTATCTGCCCTTGAATTACAATATCTGTTATATTTCACATTGTTACCACTCCAACGCTTTCATTTCTTCTTCAATCTTGACAATTTTCATATTATGTGTCATACTTGGTCTTATTTTCTTTTAAAATCCTTATATATGACTTGGCGGTTATAAGCCCACAATCCGACAAAAGCTCTCACGCACGCTCAAGTATGACAATGCGACTAAAGGCCACAACCCTACAAAAGCTCTCTTGCTCAAATACTAAACGACTAAAGCCCCACCCCGACAATAGCTCTGTCGCTCAAATATGACTAGGCGACTTAAAGCCCGCAATGCAACAAAAAATCTCTCTCTCAAATATGACTAGATGGCTTAAAGCCCGCAACCCAACAAAAGCCCTCTTGCTCAAATATGACTAGGCGGCTAACAGCCCCACACCCCCCACCCCCATCCCCGATGAAAGCACTCTTGCTCAAAAACGATCAGGCGTCTTAAGACACCCTTATCACAACTATAGTTTCTCTCGCTCAAATATAACTACGCAGCTAAAAGCCCGCAACCCGACAAAAGATCTCTTGCATAAATATGACTAGGCGGCTAAAACACATCCCCCATCCCAACAATAGCTCTCTCACTCAGATATGACAAGGCGGCCAAAAATCTCCCTCCCTCGACAAAAGCTCTCTCTCTCTCTCTCAAATATGACTAGGCGGCATAAAGCACCCCCATCCCCACCCCCCCCCGCGACAAAAGCTTTCTTGCTCAATTATGACTAGGCGACTTAAAGGCCCAATCTCTATGACATTATGGCTCTCTCGCTCAAATATGACTACGCTGTCAAAAGCCCCCATTCAGCCCCCCCCCCCCCGTAAAAATGAACGGTAGAACAATACCTCCAGAGTCAACAAGAACACAAAAAAATCATTCCCACTTCTTGATGCAATCATATGAAAAGCTATTAGAAAAAGCAAAGCTTAAGTTTAATATTTTTTGTCATTCATTCAGTCCAATCCCCGGTTCGTCAGTCCGTATAGCCGTCCTTTTCTGTATGTCTATAAGAATACATTTATTTCAATATCATCATTTTTATATCTCTGCTGCTGCTGATTGGTTCCATTCAATAAAAAAACAATATATTCGAAAAACATCCTTGGCTTAAGCATATTTCTTTGTTTGAATAAAAAAAGTCAGAATTGTATAGGATCACAAAAATATTGCATTTAATAAAAATTATTATGTATAAAATAGATAACTATATACCTGTAAAATTAATTTAAGTAACGGAGTACATCAATGCTTTTAATATTTAGAATCCTAAAGATGACTGATTCTAAGAAATGTTCTTGTAAGGTACATGTATTATTGTCTCACTCATACTATAAATATTATAATTGTAAATTTTAGATACAAACATTAATAAAATAATGACCAAATGGATTAGTTCACAATTTCATCTTTTTAATCGAAAATTATTGTATTTTCACCAAGAAAAACTGAATATATGTATAACATAGATAACTATATACATGTTAATGTATGTAACGGAACACATCAATGCTTAGAATCCTAAAAATGACTCTTCTTCAATGTAATGTTCTTGTAAGGTGCATGTATTATTCTCTCACTCATACTATAAAAATTGCCAAAATAGTTACGTGTAATAAGTTAATTTTTGGTCTAACATTTAAGCTTAAATTTGCACAATTACGATTAAAGCCTATAATTGTAAATTTTAGTTACACACATTAATGAAATAATGACCAAATGAATAAGTTCACAATTCCATTTCAAAGTGACCTTTTAATGCCATTTATATATTATTATATCTCAAAAGGATATTTTTACTGTAATAAACTGCTTTTGTTTTGTTTTATTTCATTATATTTTTCTTTTCGTGACACTTTCAATATACATGTATTTGGGTTTGTATTTGTATCAGTCAAGTAGTGATTTCTATCTAACGGGGGATGCAGGATATCGTGCTCGCTATCTTTAGCATTTAATGTGCATTAGACACATGCGTATCACATAGTGTCATACAGTGAAAATGGCGGATAAGTTTTTGTCTAATTTTGATTGTAGGATTAACAGGTGATTATTTTAAACATTTTATAACAATACAGTTTCGTGATATGATATAGATGCTGGGTGGTTATACCACTTATATATTAGATTTAATTTTAGAAATAAAATTTACTGTTGTGAAAAAGAAAGTGACTCTAATCTCGACTCTTAGCAGCTTGAAATTACATAAATGATAACAATAAAGGACGATTTTCAATTATATACATGTAGCCCATCCCTATGAACCGCCGTATGAACTCATCTGTGGCTGTTTATAAAATTCAAAATTTCACCATTTTTTATTTTTAAATGTTGAATTCGGATTAACCCGGTGCTAGAGGACGTGTACGGTAGCTTGCAATTAACACTGACTTAATCATTCTAAGCCTGCAACATTTTCAATTTTGTCGTTTTGGACGTTCTTTATGGATTCTGGTTTCTCTACTGTTATATTTCTTACCAGGTTGGTCTATATCTTGCCAATGGTTGTTTCTATAACTTTCGGTGGTGGTAAAGTGGTCACTTGGGTCATGGTCAATATTACGAGACTGATTAGAAAATTTTAACAATTTTGCTCATATACTGACTTTATGTCTTTCATAATTGATAGGTAGATACGTTGAGTTGTCCTTTAACTTTGGGTGGAGTCAGACATAACTTGGTTCCAGGTGACAAAATTGTAAGTAATGTACATGTATGTGTACATGTCCTTCTAAGGCTCGTGATTTTCACTGTTAAAGCATAAAACGTAGAAATTCCGTTTTTCAAAATGGTTATAACAGTTGAATTTAGTCTGTTGTTTGAAATTCAATCAATATCATGAATTATCACTTTAAAGTCAACTAAAATTTGTTCAATGAATCACTCAATGAAAATCAATGGGCTAATTTTTTTATTGAACCAAGTGTTATTATAATTTATCTTTGTATATACAAAATTGAAGATATTTCATTTCAACATTTCAAAAGTACCCTGTCATTTTTTTATGTTATATTTCTTATTATTATTTCTGTTTCTATTACAACTTACAAGGTAACACATCATTGAAGATATACTAGTATTCAATAATAAGTAAATTTTTCAAACTTAAACTGCGTTTTTATACACCTAACAGCAATACTAATCTCTATATATATCTTCTGTATTTTAAATTATTTCATAGGCAAGTCTTTGTACTTTGTTGCAACCTCATATTGTAGCTATGGTTGCGTTATTCCTGGCGTCAGGGTTTAAGTCATAACTGCAACCGGGATGTTGATTTCAGCAAATTTTATTGCTTTTTCAACTACTTTTAACTACAGTACAACGTCATATTAAATTATTTTGGATTTGCACTGCTTTGTATTAAGGGATGTCTGATGTAAGTGTGGTGAATTTGAATATCAAAATCGTAATATATAGAGGATATAAATTTGTATCATAAGAACTCGGGAACAGTACCGTAAATTGCGGCTTATTTTCGATCATGAAACAGCTTTTAAAAATGATTTTCTTGCAACTAAATATCTTTTCGTATTTTTCAAATTATCCGAGTGTAAAGCATCTATCACTTTAACACGAACTGTTTGTTGTAAAATTGGCCAAATCTGACAGTATTATAGAAATGACCTTAATATATTAATCTACTTCTTAATGACGCCATTGAATAAAGTATTTCATTACTTCATTTTTAGACTTTCCTTCACAAATAAAGTCATTAAAATATGACTTCCTTTTGTCCGTTTAGCTCAAGATCATTAATATCTGTTATATCAGAGTTTAATTTTAGATTCAGCCTTCAGTACGGCCATAAGAGGAGATCACTGTATGTATGATTGTCAGACTACTTCGCAAATTTAGTCCCTTTTGTTCATCAGCTAATAAAAACATTTAAACCACCATTGTCTACAATGTACATGTATTCGTTTTTTATCAGCTACGGTTTTTATTTAACATGATATTGATTTTTTAAATCTTCAAAAGTCTTTGATAAATATATCATCATATATGGAGAAGGCTTTGAGTCATCAGCATTGCAGAAATATTTCAAACCACAAAAAATTCCTATTTATTTTTTTTACTTTAAGTTTGGTCATGTTGTATTGTTAACATCTATATGTTAAATACAATATAATATTGGTTTTACAATTAACATACAAAATATGATTCCATGACCAAAAGTTCTAAAAACATTATCGTTAGTCCTCCACGAAATTCAATCATGACTGAATTAAGACTGCTTTTTAGCCGATGCCTTTTTTGTTAAGAGATAAATATGAATAAATAAAGAAAGAAAGGAAAAAGGAAAAACAATAAAAATGTGTAAGTATTTAATGACAATATAACTAAAATACGGTACCTATGACCTTAAGTTGTTTCATTGTTATAGACTTTGCAGCCTAATGTGTTGAGTAATAATATGTTTTTTATCAGTACATCAATGTTTCTTGTCAGTTAAGAATTTCCTACATATATTTATCAAAGACTTTTGAAGATTTAAAAAACCAATATCATGTTAAATAAAAACCGTAGCTGATAAAAAACGAATACATGTACATTGTAGACAATGATGGTTTAAATGTTTTTATTAGCTGATGAACAAAAGGGACTAAATTTGCGAAGTAGTCTGACAATCATACATACAGTGATCTCCTCTTATGGCCGTACTGAAGGCTGAATCTAAAATTAAACTCCGATATAACAGATATTAATGATCTTGAGCTAAACGGACAAAAGGAAGTCATATTTTAATGACTTTATTTGTGAAGAAAAGTCTAAAAATGAAGTAATGAAATACTTTATTCAATGGCGTCATCAAGAAGTTGATTAATCTATTAAGGTCATTTCTATAATACTGTCAGATTTGGCCAATTTTAAAACTAACAGATCGTGTTAAATTGATAGATGCTTTACACTCGGATTATTTGAAAAATACGAAAAGATATTTAGTTGCAAGAAAATCATTTAAAAGCTGTTACACGATCGAAAATAAGCCGCAATTTACGGTCCTGTTTCCGAGTTCTTATGATACAAATTTATATCCTCTGTATAACACGATTTTGTTATTTAAATTCACCACACTTAATCAGACATCTCTAAATACAAAACAGTGCAAATCCAAAATAATTTAGTAGGACGTTGTACTGTAGTTAAAAGTATTTGAAAAAGCAATAAAATTAGCTGAGATCAACATCCCGGTGGCAGTTATGACCTCAACCCTGACGCGAGGAACAACGCAACCATGGCTACAATATGAGGTCCCAACAAAGTACAAAGACTTGCCTATGAAATAATTTTGCAATACAGAAGATATATATAGAGATTAGTATTGCTGTTAGGTGTATAAAAACGCAGTTTAAGTTTGAAAAATTCACTTATTATTGAATACTAGTATATCTTCAATGATGTGTTACCTTGTAAGTTGTAATAGAAACAGAAATAATAATAAGAAATATAACATAAAAAATGACAGGGTACTTTTGAAATGTTGAAATGAAATATCTTCAATTTTGTATATACAAAGATAAATTATAATAAGACTTGGTTCAATAAAAAAATTAGCCCATTGATTTTCATTGAGTGATTCATTGAACAAATTTTAGTTGACTTTAAAGTGATAATTCATGATATTGATTGAATTTCAAACAACAGACTAAATTCAACTGTTATAACCATTTTGAAAAACGGAATTTCTACGTTTTATGCTTTAACAGTGAAAATCACGAGCCTTAGAAGGACATGTACACATACATGTACATTACTTACAATTTAAATGTACAGTACTGTGCTATAGGTACTAAGACTATAAACAACAGCAACAACAAATCATTTTCTTTCAGCATGTAGTAAACGATTCTTCTCGCATCAAATACCAATCAATAATCACCCAAACTTTAATAAACAGTTTAACACATGACTGCATTAAAATAAGTGAATGCGGAAGAAATCCACGCGCTTGAATTTATCTCAAGCAATCGTATAATAATAAAATGTAAATAACAAATTTTACACGCATCATAGCTAAGTGTTTATCTGAACTGACACGAGACGGTCGTGTATTTTCTGCAACAGGTTATTCCGGGTAAATAGTGTCGCCAATATAAAAAAAACACAAAAAACATGGTGGACAGCATTTTATTTACGTTTATTCTATTTGCTGGATTTACAAGTAAGAGGTTTTAAACTTTTTCTTTAACTTTTAAAATTAAATGGGTACTGATACCAAGTTGTTGAGACAGAAATAAAACAGACACTTCATTTGTTATTTATTCTATACCATACATTTGTAAACACTTCAATACAGGATACACGTTTAAATTTTGCAAGCTATATAATCAATGTATCATAAAAAATGTATTCTTCGCTAACAAATATTATTAACAATTCAAATCCATGAAATATTCTCCACAATAATTTATATCGCGGGAAAGAATCATATTCGAGTGACGCGATAAAAAAAACACATAGGGTATGAATATTTGAATCTTCAAAAGATATGTGTGACCTACCTGAAAGCCAAATTATGCCCCAGAAACAAATTAATTTTTACTTCTCTAAAAAGGACAAATTTTATAATGTTTAAATGATTATTGTTTTTGAGAATGGTACAGTAACTTTAAATGCGTATTACTTAAAAAAAGTAGCAATGTATGTAGTCTAATCAGTCATAAAAGTAGCAAAATGTAACCAGAGTAGTATTCCGACTTCCTTAAAAAATCAAAAGCCGACAAATTGAATGATGAATGATTTATATTTCGGTCTTTTCTTTGTCCGCAGGTACATTTGCGCTAAAGAGGTAAGTCGTTACTTTTGTCCAAAAATATAACGCGTTTTAACAGCGTGAAACATTAAATAAAATATACAGGTATATTTTCAACTCGAAGTATTTAGTGTAATTAATAATCTATACAAAATACACTTTCTTGTCGTAGTGTAAGGTTTAACGTTTGTCAAGTTAATGCATGAGTGAATGCTTTAAATTAGATATTTTTTCCAATCACGTGACATAATAGCAGGTCTAGATTTATTACAAATTGTTTTTTTTTATATTTTCTACTTAAAAAGCTATTTCTATAATTTTTAGAGTGTCAGTGACGAACATTTTTATATGTTTTACTATGAAGTGGTATGTTCTTTTGCCAAAGTATGGATTTTGAAAATTAAAGGAGCAAAACAATTTTTAGGAAATCATTTCGTCACAGCTAAATGCATAATAAAAACCAAAATAAACCAACAAAATAATAAAGATTGAGGAAAAGACATATACACAGACCGTATATTCTGCACTAAGCTTTGTTTTGCTATGAATTTGCACGACACACTTCAGCTATTTCTTTTTAAAAGTTTCAGGTTTTTTTCGTTTTGGTTTTTTTTTTTCGGCGGGCTAGTATTTATTGTCATCACTGTTGTAGTATCTTTCACGGTATGCTGCTTGTATCGTCGAAGGAGAAGAGGACATATCGGACACGTGTGTCGACAGACTCCACCTCAAAGAACTACAAGTATGTTTATCATTTATATAAATAATCTTAATGTCCTAGACCTATCATATATAAGAAATATCAATTTAAATGTGTTTTTTTATATTAACATGTTTCAACTGGATATGAAGTAAATGTTCAAGTTGAAAAACTGCATTTGCCAATTTTTCCCTTGCTTCAAAGTTAACACTTTACGTAAAACTAGAGTCTAAAATATAACAAACTCTATTAAAAAAATTGAAGTTTTTCGTGATGTCAGTAAAAGACCGAGATGGACGTCAGTTTCCATAGACATGTTTTCTTGGAACAGTGAACTGCTCCTTTTTTTCTTTCTTTCGTTCTTTTTTTTTTTTTTTTTTTTGACAATGATATTTTACGCAATTAAACTCATAACGTTTTTTGACGGTTTTAATTAGCAATAGGCACGTTATTATCAATACAATACTATATATATTTGTAGATTTTAAACTTTTAATAATTTGAAGAAGCTATGTATCTTATTTAGGTTTCATTTCAGATAATATCCACAGTCCTCCGTCATACGAACAGGCTGGCTATAATGGTACCGTAAACAGTCCAGTAATAATGACGTCAGACCTGACGCCAGGAGCAACGCGACAATGGCAACAATTGATGGCTCCGCCAAATTATGAGGACATTTTCCGGAACAATGAGCAATAAGCTGTAAAATAAAACGAAATATAGAACATTATCTCACATTGATGAATATATTCTAACTTACTTTTAAATATCAAAATATAAATGTTTATCGAATTTACTTTTTTACGTTTTCATATTTTGTGTTACGTCGTTCGTTCTAACTTTTACTTGTGTGCCATTTCACTAAACCAATATGAATTGTGATAATAAAAGAAAAAACAACAACACAACTTTGTCTAAAATAAACTTTGTTAAAACACTACTGTAACAGAAAATAAATTATAGTGGTTTCCTTAATTGAGGTTTTATTATTTGCTTTATATTTTTAAACATTTATTATTTGCTTTATATTTTTAAACATTTTTATACATTCTTTTCTGTAATAGTTACATTTATTTCTACTTTTTATGTTGATAAAACTTTGTTTTTCTTATAGAAATGCACCGTATATATTTTGCTTCTGCTTTCACACAACGGCGTCTTGCCTTTGCCATTATGCCATTAAAAGTTCAAAAAACACAAGGAAAGTCAGACAGCTGTTGGAGAAAGCTTTGAGTCATCAACATTGTAGAGTTATTACAAACCACGAAAAGTTTTTATGTATATATTTTAGTTTTAGTTTGATGATATTGCATTGTTAACATCCATATGTTAATACAATATAGTTCACAGTTTTACATACTTTATAATTTATACAATAATAATTTTATAGTATGGCAAACGTTCTAAAACCATTATCTTTAGTCATCCACGAACATCAACGATGACTTAAAGCAGCACGCCTCCGGATTCATGTTAATTTTCATGAAAATTTCGGAAATGTTTTAAAAAGTAAAATATTGTGAGGTGAACAAATAAAGTAATTTATATATTGCAATCTGCACTTACAATCCACTAAAAGTACCCAAAAAGAGTGATCAACATTATGCAAAAAACAGCCCTTACTGCGTCAGTAACGCAGTAGAAATATGGAGAATTGACTACTGAAAAACTTGTCTTAAACCGCACGTAACATGTTAAATATAACTTGAATCTTAAATGTTTAACCTTTCTTAAAATCTTAGTACATTTTTCTTAATATTTATTTTCATTTTTAAAATATTTTGTCTCATCTGACGGCGTGCAGCTTTAAAAAAGACTTTGAAGATGATAAACAAATCACTGTTGTGCTAAATAAAAAATCCGTAGCTGAATATATATAAACATTGTAGACAATAATAGTTTAAATGTTTTTGGTTGACTGATGGATAAAAGGTAAACTGTAAACTGGCTGGGGCGACATCTTGAGATTTTTCTGCTAAAAAACATGTCGAGGCTATTTTGTTTGGCAGAAATATCCCGATATGTCGCCCCAGCATGTGTTATACCACTGTATTTAACAGGATTCATATACTATAACTATTTATCATTTCATATTTCTTTTGTAACACCCCTGCGCACTTCTAAAATTTACGACAGGAAACCTCCAGCGAATGCAGTTATTTCATTGGTTAATCGATATATGTAAACAAATATGGCTGCAGGTGGCTGAAGAGCGTACAGAAATTTAGTAATATTTCTGTTATTTTCACTTTTTTCTAGAGGTTATATTTGCGAAATTTATTTTCAAAACCGTAATATGTTAAATAAGTAAAGGCATAATAATAATGTGACATGAGAGGACTGTTTGTTTTAGCCTCTGTTGGAAATAATTCAATGTAATCAAAGCCATTGATTAAGATCTGTCCCATTAACGATTCGACCCATATAATTCAAAGATTATATGAAATAAGATTATATGTCAAAATGGTTGTGGCTCATTTTCAAAATGGTTTAAATTTATAAAACATCAATAAAATAGTGTTTCTCCTTTTTTACATCCATGTATAGCACAAAACTCCAGGGACAGTTTCCTGAAGAGAAATTTCATTTTACATTTTTTTCTCCCCCGAATTTAAATGTTATCTCCTATGGTTGTCAGTCATCATGAAAATGATATACATATACGAGGGGTTATCCAAAAATTCGTGGACTTTTTAAATATCTTTTGAACGTCAAGGTGTATTGTAATGAAATTTTATCAGCATACATTGTAGAATATTATCAACACATTTTGAAACAAACAGTTAACTGCGTCATTAAATAATGATTTTATATTGCTTTTAAATAAGCACATTCACGGCACCGGTAGAAAAGCGCAGTTAGTCATCGTATATTTTTTGCTAAAAAACTACTAATTAACATAGAAACCCCGCTAAACATCGCATATTTCTTCTTTGATGTCATTTAAGTAATTTTTTAAAATTATGGACGTCATTTCCGTTAATTTTTGTAGGAAATCTCCAGAAACGCCAGACAACGATATTGTTACAACGGGGAATGACGGACACGCAGAAATGAGAAAATAGTATGATCATAAAATTTTGTTGTAACTAACACTTACAAAAACATTTGAAAAAAAAACAACAACAAAACAAAACAGCAGGCGAAGAAAGAAAATAAAATTTCACTTTCATTAGTGTTTAAGTGGCATAACAATTTAGTGATGGACATTACTTTGTGAAGCAGTTATGGTTATTGACTGCCTAACGTTGAATCATAAGTTGTACGTTAATTATTATGACGTTGACGTCAATAACTTTTTGGAGTGCGCCGCTGTCGCTGACATGTGTTTATGTAAAATTAAATTTTGTTGTAATATAAGAGGTTACTTACATGATTTTTTCTGTGTTTATTTGTTATTAGACTTTGTCTAAGCAGTGTAACAATTTCAAATCAATATCTCAAATTTATTTTACGCAACAAAGAACGTCCACGAACTTTTGGATAACCCCTCGTACATTACTTAAAGGCAAGAAGAGTCTACTTCCTTGAACCAACCAGTACTTGTGTCATGATGTAGAATCATGGTTGTGACCCGATTAGTGCTCGAATCCATGATCCATAGGTTAAAACGTATAATCCTTAACACCAGGCAACTGCACCCTTAATTTTGTTATTTCTCACAGACCTTTCAAAACATTAAATAAATGATTCAATCTTTAGCCAAAATAGAGAGAAAGGGAGGAACAAGTTTTTGATTTTGTTTATATGACATTCAAATTTTTGATTTGATATTGAATTACTGGTGATAAGGTACTTTTCCACAAGAAATTATTAACAATATGCCTCAATAACAATTTGCCAGAGTTAAATAATGATTCACTATTGTATGATTAAAGCAAAAAAGAGTAAATTAACTCAAGGAATGAAATTTTAAATGGAAAATGATTAATAGGATTTCAGCAACAGTTTGAAAATGCCCCATTATGGATGTGAAAAAAAAGGTATTTAAACACATGGCGATTTGTAATGTGGTGAATTTTTATGGTTGCGAATCGTAAAAGTGTCAGGTGGAAGACTATTGCATGTTTTTGAAGCAGTTTTTGCCAACTTCACTTTTTTTCGGAATCCACCAGCTTGCTTGAAGCCTTGAGAGAAACATATTGTTGAAATTTACTTTAAATTTATTGTAAACTTTAACTTGATATAAACATTTCTTAAAATTTCAGAAAGGCTGTATTTATTGTAATCATAGTATTTATCATGTTAGGATAATGAAAAGCAACAAAAGAAATGGTCATACAGAATGTTAACATAATCTTCACTATTTTTTCCAACAGTTTAATACTCATTTTATGATTATGAATGTCAATGGCAATTTGTTGATACCACATCAGTTTTTTTGTCAATTTTCAAAACAACCTTTGGCTTTCTGAAGGGAAAAAAATATAATAGCAAGATGAATCAGAAAAAGGGAAAAATATTAAATAAAATTCCAACAACTATGAATGGAATTCACCTACACATTTAATTAAATTATCGATTCAATTTTAACATATTTGCATACGCTATCTATAACAACTTTCTGTCAATTAATTTTATCAACGAGCTGATAATCATATAAGTCAGCTGCTGTTAAGTCATGGTTCTGGTGAATAATGAGCACAGGGCATTTCAGTTGAAAAATAGCATTTTGAGGAAAAAGTCCCTTTTTTTGGCTGTAAAATATTAAGAGATTAATACACGGCAGGAGAGGGCCGGAAGGTGATAATCGGCCCGCAAAATGAATAATGGACCCGAGGGCTTTAACCCGAGGGCCATTATTCATTCAGGGCCGATTATCACCTTCTGGCCCTACTCTGACGTGTATTAATGTCTTTAATACACTTGGTAAATCTAATAGATCTGGTAGCATTAAAAAAACAAAACAAATAGGATCTAGATCTACTTTGAAGTTCTTTCGTTGAAATTCTTGTCTACTGTACTCTTCTACTGTTCTGTACAGAGATGTTTACTGTTTGTGTGTTCAAAGCAGTAGAATCTAGAAGCAAGTTTTATTTTCATTTTTTTTTCGGAATGAATTTGTCGTATTAAATCTTCAAATTTCAATAGTAACAAATATGTGTTTGTACTAAATACGCTTAAGCTCTCACAATAAAAATAAAGCGATTCGTGCTGACAACCTACTTTCACTTTCACGGTTAACTGTTTGATGACGTAAAATATGACGTCATTGTTTCAGTTTGTGCACGTGCACATGTTCTGCGGGCTGATAACTAGTTCTCGGCCCCGGGCCGCAAACTCATAATAGGTCACGTGACACTCATAATCAGTTGAAATCATAGGCAATTTTGTTACTATATATAGTAACAAGTGTATTAATAAGAGATTAATACACGGCAGAGTAGGGCCGGAAGGTGATAATCGGCCCGCAAAATGAATAATGGCCCCGAGGGCTTCAGCCCGAGGGCATTATTCATTTCAGGGCCGATTATCACCTTCCGGCCCTACTCTGTCGTGTATTAATGTATTTAATACACTTGGTAGATCTAATAGTAGCATTAAAAAAATACTTTGAAGTTCCTTGTCTACACTTCTACTGTTCTGTACAGAGATGTTTACTGTTTGTGTGTTCAAAGCAGTAGAATTTAGAAGCAAGTTTTATTTTCATTTTTTTTCGGAATGAATTTGTCGTATTATTTCTTCAAATTTCAATAGTAACAAAAATGCGTTTGTACGAAATACGCTTAAGCTCTCTTAATAAAATAAATCAATTCGTGCTGATAACCTACTTTCACTTTTACAGTTAATTGTTTGATGACGTAAAATTTGACGTCATTGTTTCAGTTTGTGCACATGCACATGTTCTGCGGGCTGATAACTAGTTCTCGGCCCCGGGCCGCAAACTCATAATAGGTCACGTGACACTCATAATCAGTTGAAATCATAGGCAATTTTGTTACTATATATAGTAACAAGTGTATTAAAGGAAAATAATCACTGCACATAAGTAAGGTAGTAAACAAATACCAGCCAAAAATACTTTAATTATATTATATTATATTATATATATTATTATCATGTAAATATTGTTTCTGTAAAATTGTAGAAATATTAATGGTTTTCTATAAATATTGTGGCTGATACTATGTCTCCTATAGTTTAATTGGTAAATCAACTCTGGTTTAATGTTAACTCATGCAAACTTAGAGGAGTTCTGAGTTCAAATCTGAGTAGGAGCAAGGGTATTGGCTATAATGTCAAATCTGTAAAAGGATAAACATAGAATTATAAATGTAAAATTTTCAATTTACCTTTAGACCAATGTTTTAATGAACTTCAGAAATAATTGCTACTAAAATAGTATGGCTATGTGAACTACCATATTTGGAATATTTATTTATTTATTGTTTTTGTACATGTTCATAGTGTTAAATAGCTTGAAATATAGATTAAGAATGGGGAGTATGTGATAGGGAATTGATGGTCTACAGAATTTTATTTTATACGAGGAAGTCAAGGGCCTTTGGGCTTTGGCTTGACCACCTATAGACTACACATGTACATTTAAAAGAAATAAAATAAAAAACAATTATAAAATATGTAGTATTCTCTAACTATCAATAAAGTTTCAAAAGTCTCAGTTTTTAATAGGATGCCACTATATCAAATGTAACTCAATGAAAATATAATAGGCTGGGTTATCCGATAATGGAACAATCACAACTTTTCGGATCAATGATAACATCGAGTGTTCCGAGTGAAAACGGAACTGGTACATGAAATACCAAATGGGAAAATGAACAATTTTTAACAGACTTCCCCGTCCATAGGCTTTGCCTAATTTCATATTAAATAAATCAAATCAAGCTTCAAATCAAGCTTCCTAAGAAATACTGTGATGCTTTTTTCATAATTCCAAGCTTTTTTCATGGATTCCTTGCCATTATAATTCTGCATGCTTTTCTTACATCTGAATGATTTTTAAGCAACTTTTTTTTTGCATTGAAGCTACATTGTTCATGCATATCTATGAATGTGACATATTCTTTATACATTTCTTCCTATTTGGTTATATTCCGTCACTGAAGTGGTATGTATGGCAAGTTAACCATTTTTCACAATTTGTGTATCATAATTATGACATAAAGAATTACTTCAGTCAAAGAAATTCAAACATTTTTCACTGAATCGAGGGAAAAAAACATGTTTCATTATTGTTGTTGTTGTGGCGTTCTATTTTTACAGTGGAAACCCAGACGCGGTTTCATTGGCTATTTTAATCTAGGACATATCTGATTGGATAAGGCTAACAGGTGCTCGACTGGTTTTAATTTTGCGTTCATAACCTCGCTGTTTGGAATATTTTATTTAAGACGCAGTCCATTGGACAGAAATCTGTCCAATACGCTTAGGGGTTTCCTGATCCTATTATGGTGGGAACCATAATAGGACAGGGAACCAGATTATATGGGATAGTAAGAACAAAGAAAAACTTCTTAACCATTTGATAAAAATTGATATAATTATGTTCTTTGATGAAAAATACGAAAAGTCATTTAGCTGTAGGAAAATCATTTTTAAAAGCTGTTACATGATAACGGTCCCGTTCACTAGTTCTTATGATACAAATGTATATCCTCCGTATATTAAAATTTTGATATTTAAATACAGCAAACTTATATCGGATATTTCTTAATACAAAACAGGGTAACTCCAAATAATTTATTATGGCATTAGCTATGTACTGTAGTTAAAAGTAGTTGAAAAAGCAATAAAATTAGCTGCGATTAACATCCCGGTTGCAGTTATGACCTCAACCCTGACTCCAGGAACAACGCAAAAATGGCTTAAATATGAAGTCCCAAAAAAAATCAGACTTGCCTATGAAATAATGTTGCGATACAGAAAATATATAGAGAGATTACTATTGCTGTTAGGTGTATAAAACGCAGTTTGAGTTTGAAAATTTTACTTATAATTGAATACTAGTATATTTATCTTCACTAATGCGTTGCCTTGTAAGTTGTAATAGAAACAGAAATAATAAATTAAATAAGAAATATTACATAAAAATGGCAGGGTACTTTTGAAATGTTGAAATGAAACATCTTTAATTTTGTATTTTCAAATTTATATTTTTAATTATACTAAGACTTGGTCCAATAAAAATTTTAGCCCACTGATTTTCATTGAGAGATTCATTGAACAAATCTTATTTTTGTTTTAAAGTTATAATTCATGAAACTGATTGAATTGTTAACAACAGACGAAATTCAACTGTTATTACCATTTTGAAAAACGGAATTTGCTACTTATTATGCTTTTTCAGTGAAAATTACGAGACTTAGAAGGACATGTACACATGAATTACTCACAATTTAATGTACAGTACCGTGCTTTAAGTACCAAGGCTATAAACAACAACACAACATCAACAAATCCTTTTCTTTCAGCATGTAGTAAGCTATTCTTCTCGCAACAATTACCAATCAATAATAAATCCAAGGTAAATTAACAGTTTAACACGACTGCATTAAAAGAAGTAAATGCGGAAGAAATCCAGGCACAAGAATTTATCACTAGCTCTTGATAAAAAATAAATTTAAGTTACAAATTTCACACGCATATAAGTCTTAAAGCTAGGTGTAAATATGCACTGACGCGTGACGGTCATGTTACATTCTTCTGCAGCAGTTTATTCAGGGTAAATCGTGTGATAAATATGCTTAAAATAGTGACAGTATAATGTGATCAACAGACAAACATGGTGGACAACATTTTATTTACGTTTATTTTGTTTGCTGGATTTACAGGTAAGACGTTTAAAATTTGTTTTTATAACTTTTAAACATAAAATGTTAAATTGATACCAAGTCGATGAACAAAAATAAAACTCTTAAACACTTTATGTGTTATGAATTTTACACCATATATTTCTTTCCAATGCAGGTTAAACGTGTATATATATTTTACAAGCTATATAATGAATTTATATGATTTATGATTTAGTCTTGAAATATTCTCAGCAATAATCACTGTCGCGGGGGAGAATCATATTTGAGTTGCGCGATGTATTGAATAGAAAAACCATAGGTTTGTAATAATCGGGTTCTTTTTTACTTTTCTTTTTTATAAATGACCAATTTATGTAGGAATATTGGAATTGTCAAAGGATATGTTCGACCTGTCTTAAGGCATATCATGACTCAGAAACATTCTTTTTTACTTTTTTATAATGGACAATATGAATTATATATAGTTTAAATAATCATGATTATAGAGAATGCTACTTTAAATGTATGTAAACTGAAAACAGTAGTAAAATGTAAACAAAGTAGTAATTTGACTTCCGTAAATAAAATAATAGCCAACAAATATGATGATGTATGTTTTACGAGTCAGTCTTTTGTTTTGTCTGTAGGTACATTTGCGACATCTACGAGGTAAGTCGTAACCTTTTGTGTGTTTCAAAAGCGTAAAACTTTTTTTAAGATACATGTTTGTATTCAACTCAAAGTATAAAGTGTTATTCAAAATGTTATACTATTCGAAATACAATTTCTTGTCAAAGTGTAAGGTTTACTGTGTGTCATGTTAATGCATGAGCAAATGATTTTAATATTTGTATCAGTCATGTGATATAATAGCAGGTCTAGATCTATTTCAAGTGTGTATGTGTGTGTGTGTTTTTTTTTGTGTGTGTGTTTTTTTTTAAATATTTTCTACTGAAAGAGCTATTTCTAAAATTTGTTAGAGGGTCAGTGATGAACATTTCTATATCAGGTTTCATTGTGAATTGGTCTATGTTTGTTTGCTGCAGTATGGTTTTGAAAATTATAGCTTTAAAATAATACGCAATATTCACTTCATCAATGCTAAATACAAAAAAATGGAGGGAAAGACAAATAAACACCACGTATATACTCCGCACTAGGCTTTGTCTTTGTATGAATTTGCATGAAAAACTACGGCTATTTCTTTTTCTCTTAATGTTTCAGGCCTGCTCCTTTCTTTGGTTTTCTAATAGGCGTGATAGTGTTTATCGTTGTTCTTGTTTTAATAAGTATTTTCGTATGCGTATATTGTCGCAGAAAAAGAGGACACCCTGGTCAAGTGTGTCAACCGCCTCCACTTCTAAGTACTACAAGTATGTTTATCATTTTTTAGCAATAATCTTATTGTCGTATCATAGAAGAGAAACATCAATGTTACAACCTAATATGAAGTAATCCATGTTGCCAATTTACGTAAAAGTAGAGCATAAAATAAAACAAAACAGAAATACTAAAGATGTTTGTGACATCAGTTATGAGAAGAAGTGCCTTTCAATATCCATAGATATGTAATTTTAGTTTTACAGTATACTTCTCGTTGTTTTTACAGTGATATTTTACGCAAATAAATTTATACCGTTTTGTGAAGGTTTTCATCAGCAATAGGCACGTTATTATCAAATTGAATACAAAATTACATTTATCCGTAGATTAAATGACTTTATTATTTGTTTATATAGAAATAGTCTCAGTCCGTATGTCCTTCCGTCCGACATTTTTGTCCGGAACATATCTCAAAAAGTATTTGAGGTGTCAACTTGAAACTTCATACTATTAGGTGGATAGATCATATTGTGAAGGAGTGCAGTGCACAAGAATGATAACTCTACATATCATAATTTTTTAGTTATTGCCCTTTGTTATTTTTCAAGCATAATTTTTGTCCAAAGCATAGGTAAAAAGCCTTTGTGATATCAACATGAAGCTTCATGGATGGATAGATCTCCCTCAGAAAGTGTGCTCTGCACAAGAATAATAACTGTACCCTTCATAATTTTTAGGTTATTGCCCTTTTTTATTTTTCATACTTATTTGTTCACCTGAGTGGAGCATAACTCAAAAAGTCTTTGAGATGTCAACGTGAAACTTCATAGGTGGATAGACCTTATTAAGGAGGAATGCTGTGCGCAAGAATGATAACTCTACCTTTATAATTTTTGAGTAATTGCCCTTTGATATTTTTCATACTTTTTGTTCGGAGCTTATCTCAAAAAGTGTTAGAGGTATCAACTTTAAACTTCATAGGTGGATAGATCATATTGCAGAGGAGTGCAGTGCACAAGAATAATAACTCTACCCTGCATAATTTTTCAGTAATTGCCCTTTGTTATTTTCAAACTTAATTTTTGTCCAGAACATAACTCAAAAAGCTTTTGTAATATCAACATGAAACTTTATGGGTGGATAGATCTCACTCAGGAGGTGTGCAGTGCATAATAATGATAACTCTTCCCTTCATAATTTTTGAGTTATTGCCCTTTGTTATTTTTCATACTTAATTTTTTTACCCGAGTGGAGCATAACTTAAAATGTCTTTAAGATGTCAATATGAAACTTCATAGGTGGATAGATCTCATTGAGGAGGAATGCTGTGCGCAAGAAAGATAACTCTACCCTTTATAATTTTTGAGTTATTGCCCTTTGTCATCTTTCATACTTTTTGTCCGGAGCTTATCTCAAAAAGTGTTAGAGGTATCAACTTGAAACTTCATAGGTGGATAGATCTCATTGAGGAGGAGTGCAACACACAAGAATGATAACATACTCTGCATTATTTTCAGTAATTGCCCTTTGTTATTTTCAGCCATCAATATTCACATAGGTTTCAAATCTGTAAACACTTAGCCATCAGTTTTCATTACCAAAAGATCTCTTTAAATTGAATTATTCTGCTCTACTACATATACATTCTTGCGATGAGAAAACACATTCGGCGGGGGACGGCCATGCTAACATGGCTCTTGTTTAATTTGTAAGAACCTATGTATATCATACATGCTTTATTTCAGTTCATATCCACAATCCGCTGCCATTCGGACACGCTGGCTACAGTCCGGTTATGATAATGACGTCAAACGTGACGCCAGGATCAATGCAACAATGGCAGCAGCCGGTGGCTCCGCCAAAGTTCGAAGAAATTGATTCGCAACAATGAACAGAAAGGCGAATAATAGAATGAAATATGGAACGTTATCTAAAATGATGAAGATTTTCTAAATTACTATATCAAAATATAAATGTTTCTCGAATTTACTTTTCTTCTATTTGATGTTGTGTAAGCTCATGCATTCTTACTATCGATTAATGAGTTTTACGTTTGTGCCATTATTCCTGACCAATATGCATCGTGATAATAGAAGAAAAAATTCACAACTTGATCTAAAATTAACCCTTTTTTTTTAAAAAAAAAATACAGAAAATAAATTATTTTTGTTACTTAGTTGTGGTGGTTTTCTTGTTCGTGTTATATTTTCAAACCTTTTTATACATTGTTTTCTTTAGCTGATATATCTAGTTCTGTTTCCTATCTTGATTTATAAAAAAATATAATTCATATTTTTGCTTCTGCTTTTGTTCAACGGAGTCTTTCCTTTGCCATTAAAATTTTAAAACATTACAATAAGATTAAAGTCAGAATGCTGTTGCAGAAAACTTTGAGTCATCAGCATCGCATAGTTATTTCAATAGTTTTTTCTTTATATGTACTTCGACGGTATTTTATTGTTAACATCTTTATCGTATTAAGTAGAATATATCAGTTTCACCATTTTACATATTTTATAAGTTATAAATAATATGATAGTATATTGAATGACCAAACACTATCGTTGGTCCTACATGTACACGAAAATCAATGATGACATAATAAGCACAGGTGGCAGTATCAGTGTTTGGACACCCCACCCCTATCTGCCCCTGGACCCCTACTACAACCCTGAAAGAAAAATAATTCAACACTATAAGGTATCAAATACAAAACCACCGATAAAATTATTGATCAAAAAAAAAATTTCCACTATCAAAATTATATTATAGAAAGGTGAAAGCCTTAGAGTGATGAATTATTTTTCTTTCAGGGTTGTAGTATGGGTCCAGGGGCAGATAGGGGTGGGTGTCCAAACACCGATACTGCCACCTGTGATAATAAGGACATGTTGCATTTAAAGCCAATGCATTTTTTTAAATGAGTAAATAAATATATAAAATAATAAAAAAAATTGTATGTAGGGTTTTATCCGTTTAGCGATGACTTTGTGCATGCGCTTCTCGCTTTAAATCAATTTATTGCCATTTTCATTTTATACAAACATTTTGGAAGTATTTTTCTTAAAATCCGAACAATATTTATTGCATTAGATATATATGTTGCTATATTGTTATAGATTTTGTCAATCGAATTTGTTGAGTAATAAAATATGTATGTTTTTATCAGTACATTATTGTTGCTAGTCATTTAAGAAGTTACTACATGTATTTACATGTATTTAAAGACTATTATAGACGATAAAGTCACTATTATGTTTAAAAAATATTCGTTGCTGATAAAAAACCTCGACATATAGACAACAATGGTTTAAATATTTTGATTGGCTGATGGAAAAAAGGAAGCCATATTTGATGACTTTATTTGTGAAGTAGTCTAAAGGCTGAATCTAAAATCAAATTCAGATATGATTGATGTTAATGATCTTAAACAAGATGGAAAAAAGGTAGTAATATTTAAGGACGAAAGGAGTCTCAAACTGAAGTAATTCAAGATAGGTTGTCATAAAACTGTTGTGTTATCTATTTAGGTCATTTTTATTATATTGTCAGATTTGGCCAGTTTTAAACTGACAGATCATGTTAAATTAATATAATTATATTATTTCATGCTTTTCACTCGGATTATACGAAAAATACGAAACGATATTCTATAATGTAGAAAAAACATTTTAAAAAAACATTTCGGAAATAAGCCGCAATTTACGGTCCTGTTCCCGAGTTCCTATGCTACAAATGTATATCCTCTGTATAGTAAGATTTTGATATTTAAGTACTCCAAAATGACAATAGACATTTCCTAATACAAAATAACGAAAATCCAAAATGATTTATTATGTAGTCAGCTATGTGTGAAGTTGAAAGTAGTTAAAAGCGCTATAGTTAACATAGGTTAATGCTACTTTCTGCACTTAACATTCTGGTTGCAATTATGACCTCATACCTGACGTCTGGAACAACGATACAATGGAACCTGAAGCCTCATCAAAGTAAAAAGCCTGGTCAATGAAATATATAGAAGGCGGGTGTGTGTTAAAGAAAATATAAGATACATATGTCAATGGCTAATTTTTAATTATTATCGTTTTGAATTATATATTTACGAATTCATTTTTGTCTCTTTTTTTCTTTTGATGTTCTGGTATTACTTACTACGTTACTACTATCAATTAGGACAGAAATATGTACTGTATATATTCAAATTACGATAAGACATAAAGCGTTGAGACGGACGTTGTTTGTTAACGCCCAAGCAAGGACATGATAAAAAATATTTTGAATCAGCGTAAAATCGAGACAAACATACAACAGAGCGATATCATTGGTTTAAGCCGTCCAGTCCATTAACAAGAGCTCTTCAACAATAAAGCGCTTCCCTTTACATTTGAAGTAAAAACAAGGCATGTGGCTTTATTTATAAATGCAAAACAGAATGTATATAGAAAGATAAGTATTGCTGTGAGGTGTACAAAAACGCAGTTTAAGTTTGAATATTTTACTTATAATTAAGTTATAGTATATTTTCAAGGCTGTGTTGCTGTGTATGTGTAATAGAAACAGAAATAATATAAAGAATTTTGAAACAAATTGCCAGGGCACTTTTTGTAAATGTTTACAAATGATGAAGCCCTTGTACGTAGAATCGTTTATCCTTTTGTATCAATAATTTTTGTGTCGAGTCATGGTCAAGAGATATCTATTTAATTTCTTTTTTATATTAATAGGTTTTAACATGATATTAGGTAAATGTTAAAGTTTCTTGTCAATGACATATAGTTAATGTTGAATTTTCAAATAGCATTTGCTAATGTCGCCATTGTTTTAAAGAAAACTATTGTCATACACGTTGCAAACTTACGTAAAAAGTAGAGCCAGAAAGAACAAGACCTTTTCAAAATATAAAAGTTATTCGTGGCATCAGTAACAGAAAGAAATGGACGTCAGTCTCCATTGACATGTAATTTTGGTACAGTGTACTGCTCATTTTTTGTTTTTCTTTTGTTTTTTAACAATGATATTTTACGCAATTAATTTAATAACTTTCTGTGACGGTTGGTATTAGCAATAGGCACTTCATTATCAATACAATATTATATATATCCCTACATTTTATACTTTTTAATAATTGTTAGGAACCTATGTATCTTATGCATGTGTCATTTTAGTTCATTTCCACAATCCGCTGCCATACTGACAGGCTGTCTGTAATGGTACCGTCAACAGGCCGGTTACAATAATGACGTCAAACGTGACGACAGGAACAACGCAACAATGGGAGAAGCCGGTGGCCCCATTGCCTCCAAACTTCAAAACAACGAGAAGAGAGACGTGTGATGAAATAATTATATAATGTGTCTGCCGTTTATATAATGTTTGATACTAATGCTGTATGAAGTGACATTATGCTCATATTTTCCCCGGCAAGTTGAGATGTATTAGCAGTTTTTTTCTTCTTCTAAAGAATGGCTATTGTAATGGTGATTGACCAATTATTAATGATGAAAAATGTAAGTGATGATATAAAACAGTTAGCTAAATTTTAAAATACTGTCCAACACTTTCAGCGTTACCGATACGTACTGTACGATATTTATAGAAAACATTCCGTTGCGCGCATGGATTATTACATGTTTTTAATTTTCCATGGATATTATTAAATTGAAAACAATTATGGCAAAATGTCAAGTTATTTTAGTTTTATCTGTTCACTGATCATATGTACTGGATGGGCATACAGTTACTTTAAATGCGTTTTACTATCACAAGAAAAATATGTCTTAAATGTGCATGAAACAATATGTAATAAACAAGACAAGTTTTATTGAAATCAAAGTTTAAATCAAAATATCAGAATAATACTGGAACTTATTGATACGCAAAAATGTGTCTTATTCCGTTGCAGATTCGCCCAAAACTATAACCAAACATCAATGCTCGCAAAAGTCACTGATGATATGGTTGATTTTTGAAAAGGTAATTTGGGCGGCGTCCTGTGAACGTTGCCTTTCCCTTGTTGATGTTTATTCTTGTGATTTCCTTTATTGACAATATAGAAACATCTTCAGGTGTTCATAGTGTGGTTATCATAAAGCCTTCAATGTGTCACAATAGTGCCATTCCATTGAACGAAGCGTATTGTCCTCAAATGCGTGTGCCTTAAACGAAAAAATAAAAATAAATAATATTAACAAAATGGGGGAACTAAATATGGAAAGGGGATCAACAATTATTATGCGACAGAAATAAAAAATGCCTAAAAAACGGTTAAGACGGCAATATTGAAATATGGCAGTTTCGGTTTGTTTGAGCCTGTTCATGGACGGAACTGGACAGTGCTAGCTATCGTCCATGCCCCCTCCCCTACCACTGGGTTAGGAATAATGCAACATTTTAACCGATGAAAAGGTGGTAAAAGTGTGAATTTAGAATCATGCGCAGACGTGCCTGCAAATCTAGAAGGAGCTGACAAAAGGCAATTACATCTGCATTGTAATAGTTACATGACAGCTTTCTAACTTTGCTGGTGGAGGAAGATATAAAGTGCCCCTCATAGCTTATTTCAGGCATGAGCGATACGAATTCGCTTGGTATAAACTATTTAACAAGACACCAATGTTGTGTTGCTAGAGGAAGATATCATTTGCCCCTAATAGCATCAATTTAAGCACAAGCGATAAGTCTTATCGCGGTATAAAAAAAACACTAAAACAGAGAACAAAAAAAGAATCCCTAAAGAAAGTCCAACACAACAAAATTAAAAATGTTGCAGGCTCGGTTTGATTGAGCCTGTTCATGGATGGTACTGGAAAGTGCAATTTACCGCCCACCCCCTCCTAGCACCGGCTTAAGCACAATTCAACATTGAACACGAAAATGGTTAAATTTTGAATTTAGACATCTGTAGATGTGTTCATACTGCGGTTATCATGGAACCTTCAATGTGACACAAAAGTGCCATGCCATGAAAAGCGGCGTATGTAAAAGAATGATTTTCCCCTAAACGAGAAAACAATGGTCGGAACTAAATTAAATGGAATTTTGAAAGGAGATCTGAGGCTATGAAACCTGCATATCACAGATAAGACGTCAAAAGACAAATTTAAAAATGAAGGCAACATATCCACCAACGTTGT